AGAATAAACTGGTGAATATAATAGAATCAGGGGCATAGAAAGGGAGTGGACTGACAATTCTCAGGGAAAAAGGGGTGTGGGGTGTGCGGGAAGAGACTGGACAAAAATCGTACACCTATGGATGAGGACAGTGGTGGGATGGGGTAAGGGCAGAGGGTGGGGTGGGAACCGGATGGAGGGGAGCTATGGGGAGAAAAAAGAGGCACAACTGTGATAATCTGAACAATAAAGATTTAATTTAAAAAAAAAGAAGCCGTGGATCACATTGATGTTCTGCATAGAGGAGCCCTGGCGTTGACGCTGATTATAGAGCCGGCAAAGTACTAGGCATGGAGAGGGCACCTGATACACAGGAACCTAGACCGTAAGCTCCCCGAGGCAAGCCATTTGGGGGATTTTGTTCACTGCTGAGGTTTTAGCACTGAAAACAGTGCCTGGTGCAGAGTGGGCATCCGATGATAAATTCTGACTAAGTGAATGGATTTCATATTTATGGCATAGTTGTCAGCTCTGGAGGCAGACATGGGTGGGTTTGACTCTCAGCTCTGCCATTCATTAGCTGTGACCACAGGCAAGCCATCTAGCCAGTTCATATTTTGGCACAATATCCTAGTCTGTGTATAGGGGTTAATGTTAATTCCTCAGTAACTGCCCCTTTATCTGTCTTCCAGGCACACAAACAAACCTTCTGTCCCAGGCTTATTCATCTGTCCTCTGCCCTATTTAAATCAGAGCAAAAGCCAGGACATAACGCTACAACAACAAACTCACCTGTGCTATCTGGAGTTCAGACAAGACATGCAAACATATGCCAAGATTAATGTGTTATCTCTATCAGAGGGCTTTGCACTGCAGCAGGTGTGTTCTTGAAGTGTGGTAATTGAACCCATGCGTAATTGCCTAGTGGTGGAATTACAGCCAAACTAGAGGACATTCATTCCAAGAAGGATTCTCAGGGAAAGGAAGGTCATGATCAATGAGTGATATCTGTATACGGATGGAAGGGACTGTGGCAACTTGAATGCCATTCTGGACTAAATCACCCCATATTTTATAATTGGGGAGACTGCAGTCCTGGAAGGAAAGTGACTTGCTTAAAATTAAATAACTAATAGTTATCAGGAGAAGCATTCGATCCCTAGTGGGTTTGATTCAGAGACCAGTGCTCTTGCCCTAATCTAACCCACAGGTTCAAGACAGACGTCTCCAAAAGAAAAGGAAAGGGAAACAGAGCCAACATTTATGGAGCAAGTACCCTGGGCTAGACACTCAGGGAAACTCTTTGTAAACATTTTCTTTTCTCCTCATTATCGCCCTATGAAGTGAGCAACCTTGCCCTCCAATTTCACAGACGAGGACAGAGTCTCAGGGCCATGATGTAACTTACCTCATATCCCAGAGCTGGAGAGAAGCCTGACCTCTACCCCACGCCTACCAATGATTTGAACCTACACTCTAGGGTTAGATAGTCGTCCACCCCACAGATTCAAGAGTTAAGCATCTCTGCTGTCCCACCTGCAGAACTAGCTGTGAAGCTTTGGGCAGGAGACTTAGCCTCTCTGGGCCTTCGGTTTTTCACCCCTAAGTAAAAACAATCATACATTCCAAAAAAATGTTGTGGGGATTAAATAAGCTCAAGCATGTAAAAATGATGACTACAGAGCCTGGCCCACAGTAAGTGCTGATTCGAGTTAGTTACAGACACACCAATCCCGCACACGCAGTCTCCCTCCTGCCCCCTGAGAAGGCAGAGGGGCTGGGATGGCCACGCAGAGCTTTGGGGGTGGGGGTGGGGGTCACAGCCAGCCCTGGCCTCCCAGCGCCTTCTGTCTTTGTGCCGTGTTTGGCATCTGGCCCAGGACTGAGGAGTCCCCATTCGTCTCCTGTCAACTCAGCAGAACAAACTGTTTCAAGGGAAGGTGGTTCCCCTTGAGAAAATGTTCCCGCACACCCTGGAGCTCTTGCCCTGCACGTTGCAGCCATCTGCCTGACAGGGCCTGGGCCCCACCCAGCACAACCAGCACCCTGCTGAGTCACCGAAGGTAGTATGTGGTCTGAACAGCTGGTGCTTTACAGCACAGCGCCCTTTGCCCGGGTGATGGCTTTTAACCAACTTCATCTCTTGGTGCCTCAGTCTCACATTCCTTAATAGCACGGGCTGGTGATGTCTGGTCAGTATTTGAAGGGAGGTTGGGAGAGACCCCTGGAGACACTGCTGCCCTCCCTCACTTCCTACGCCTTCCTCAGCACTTGGCTCTCTGTGTGCTTCACCCCACCCCCCTCAGTCCTTGATAAGGTCCCTACCGTAAGTCTGAGTGACAAGACCCCAGCAACAGCAAGAGCACCCTTTCCTTGCTCGCTTCTTGCCACTGCGTCCTCTTCATTTTCCTCCTCTCATTCCTTCTCACTCTCTTTTGGCGGGTCCTTCCCCTGTGCCAGTCCTAAAATGCTGCAATTTCTTCAAGATTTAGATCCAACCTCCTTCCTTCTCACTCCACACACCCTCAAGTGCTCTGACCCCTGGCCTCAGGTACAATCCCCGTGTTCTGGTCAAAGGCTCGGGCTCTGTCCTGGAACTGCCCCTGGCACACAGACCGCCTCTCCAGCTTCCCCCGGCTTCTCCTCCTGCTGGCTGCCAGCTCCAGCAGACTCACAGGCCCCGCACTGCACTTGCATGCTCCTCATCCTCACCCCACCCCGTGATCCGGTCTCAGAATCGCACCACCATTCATTCAGTACATGTGCAGTGAGCACCTTCAGGCACCAGGTCCTGTTCTAGGTGTGAAGGGGACAGCAGGGAACAGAACCAAGTTCCTGCTGTCACGGCATTTACATCCCCTTTGCCAAGACGTCACATGACCTGGGACTCCTCGCAGCTCTCTTCCTCGCCCTGCATGTGCAGTGGGACACCAAGTTCTGTCAGTTCTGCTTGGTGATATCACTTGATTTGGTCCCCCCATTCTGTTGCCATAGTTCAGGCAACTGCTTCTGACTTGGTCTGCCTGCCCCCAGTCTTGCCCCTCCGATCCTCTCCACGCTGTGGCCAGAGCCCTGTTTTAGAAGCACAATGCTGGTTATGCTGCTCCTTTGCTCAATGCCTCCAGGCTCCCTTCTATGACCTCAAGGACGAGGTCCACTTGGCTGGTTAAATGTGAGTCAGTCCCCAAGGGTCACTGGAGAAAGAGAACCAACAGGAGACTAGGGATCTTTCTGTCTGTTTGTCTCTCTATCATCTATCTGTCTATTCGGAGATTTATTTAAAGGAATCGGCTCCTGTGATTGTGGGGTCTGGCTAAGCAAGTCCCAAAAGTGTAGGCAGCCCGGTGTGCCGGACGGTCTTAGGCAGGAGTGACACTGAGTCCCAGGCAGGATTCCTTCTTCCTTAGGGAAATCTCCACTTTGCTCTTAGGGCCTATCAAGGGCTTGGATGAGGCCCATGCAGATAATGGAAGATAATCCCTATTTAAAGGCAACTGATTGTGGACGTTAACCACATCTGCAGAATACCTTCACAGCAACGCCGAGATTAGTGTCTGAATAGCTGGGAACTATGGTCTAGCCAAGTTGACACATAAAACCACCCATCACAACGTGATACTTTTGGACCTGGGCCATGCTCATCTCCCTCACCTCTTTTCTTCCCTCTCTTCCCCCCTCGCAGTCTCGGCTCCGTCACCCCTCGCTCTGTGCCAGCTGGCCTCCTGCCACCTGTCCTCGCATGAGCCTGGAATCTTCCCCACCCCTTTCCTAGAGAACTCCTGTTGTCTCTACAACCACTCAGGTGCTGCCTACTCAGGAAGCCTTCCCTGCCCCCACCCCTGCCCAAGCCCGGCCCTGGGTGCTAGGATCACCGCCTCTGAGTCTCAAACCCCCACTGTTCCCACGAGATAGAAACTGCCTGGTGGCCGCATGGTCGGCCCCACTAGCATGCGAACAGGTTTTGGACAAGAACTGAGTAACTGTCATTTTCTATCAGATCACCCCTAGTCCCCACATGGCACAAATCCCAATCAGGGATTATTTATTTACTTGTGTATAAGCCCTCTCCCACCTTAGAATATAAGCTCCATGGAAGTGGGAAATCATGCCTGTTCCCAGGACCTAACTGTGCCGGGCACATAGTAGATGTTCAATAAACATGTACTGAGGGAATGAATTCATATTTGTTTGAATGAGTTGAACAATAAATACTTCAGTGCTAGGCACTATTTTGGAGGCTGGAAATATAATTATCGATGAGAATGGAGCTTAACATTTTAAAGAGGGGAGACAAACAGCACTAAGTAAACATAAAGAATCAGGACAGGGAAAACAAAGATGTGATATGACCGAGTGAGTACATGAAGGGATGAATGAATGAATGAATGGCTGGAATGTATGTAAATATATCTCGCACTTACTGAAGGGGAAGCACCCCAGTGGGAGAGGGGTGTGTGTGTCTGGGTAAATGATCTAGTGCCTTAGAACCTAGGGTCCCACATTTGTGATAATGGGGGTATAGCCACTGCTTTGTTTCTCTCACGGGCTATCATCCATGAGAAGTCAAACAGTAAAGAATTTAGTAACTGTGAAATTCACAAATCATAAGGGTCATTGTTGATAGTGCAGTTGTTGCAACCAGAGCACTTGAGTGCTGCAAGTTCATTGCATTGTTTAGTTGGAGAGAGGCAGAAAGGCATTTTGGCAGGAGACAGACCTGGGTATATTTCAGTTCTATTTCAGCCACTTAATGGTGAGCCATGTGACCTTGAATATGAATTATTTCACCTTTCTGGGCCTCAGTTTCCTGGTTTGTGAAAATGGGGAGAACATTTATACCATTTATAGACTGTTGCCAGGTTTAAACAAGACAGTCCATGCCAAGTGCCTGGCGCAGGGTTAAGCCCCTACAAAGGGCTCAGCTAATATTAGCTATTAACAGTCATTCTGTCAATCACTGGTGGCTGCTCATAAATGGAGCCATTCATGGTGCAGTTTCTCAAGTCTCCCTTTTCTTCCAGGAAACTTCCCGCGTCTTTATGTACCAACACCTGTGATTAAGCAAAGCTTCGTTTAAAACCACAGTCCGTGTTCACATCCAGAACATAAACAAACCGAGGACTTGCTGTTCCATGCCCTCCCTCCCAACTTTCCAAAAGAATATCTTCTCAACATAAAGAGAGATGCACTCTTCGTTTCTGTGGAAAACAAGTGCTCCTGGTTATATGATCACACACCCCTGAAACGGTTACGTTTCTTCATGTGCTGCATTTTAGAAGGCCCATAAAAGAGTTCTTGTCGAGAGAAAACACAGCTGGTGCCCAATTAGAGAGGTGATCAAGACTAATTGACCGCGAGAGCTCGTAATGAAGCCAGACCCCACGCTGCCGAGAGAGAGAGAGACTGCGGCTGGGGATGGAGGTGGCACCACTCGATCACGCAAAGGCCATGACTGAGAGGGGTGGATGGTTTATTCCGGGAGGCAGAGTTGGTCATGTGGTGACCCCTGAATTGAAGGTTTAAAGGCTGGCTCTGCAAGGCTGACACCTGGCTCTGGCTCACTCCCTTCCGTGGGGATCCTCAGCTCTCAAACCTCTATTCAGGCATCAGCTCCTATCTTGTCTGTCAACACTGGCCCTGGGAGATTTCCAGAGGGGAAGGTGACCATCATCTTCAGGAAGACCTCCAGGATGTGTCTGTACTTCTGTCCTCACAGCCCTCTGCAGACAGCGGATGTTCTTCCTTACCCCTTCCCTCCCAAACATCACACTGTCACCCCTCCCGGCCCATGGCTGCTGCTTCTGTGTCTTCTTCCCACTCTGCCCTCTACAACCCCAAGACACTGTGTTGCACCCAAGACGCTCCGCTTAAAACCTGGCTGCTCTGTGTGCCTCTGTCTCAGACCATAAGTGGAACCTGTATTCCTCACTCTCTCTGTGGAGATGGGTTTTGCTTTTCCATAGCCCCCATGCCTCAGGGCCAAAAGGCAGGATCAAGTTTCTTCTTTTGCCTCCCAGTGCTACTCGAGCCATAATCCTCTGCTCTCTGTGAGACACACACACACACACACCTGCCGTTAGGCATTTGGAAAGCAATGCTTACCTACTACCTGCACAGTGGCTGTGTGTTTCACAAGAAAGTGTGGTCTTGGGACCCTCAGCCAGAGGATCACCTGGGAACTTGTTAGAAATGCAAATCGCAGCCCCCACCCCAGACTTCTAGGGGAGGAGCCAACACTGTGCATTCACAAGCCCAGGCAACTCTGCTGCTCACCATGCGGGAACCACCGGTGCAGCATCTCAGAGTGTGGGCTCGAATACCAGCCCACCTGAGTTCACATCCCACTTTGACGCACACTCGTGTGCTACCTCGGCTGAGTGACGTAACTCCTGCTGTGCTAGATGCTCTTCTTCCTCGCCTGTAAATGGGAACTATAGTGATGCCTTTCTGTGGGGTATCATGAGAGAACTGACGTGTTTGTACATCTAACGTGCTTGGAACAGAGTCTAGAATATCATAAGCTCTTGTGAACTGTGAACTGCTACTGTTATTATCATTGAAAAGCAATTTTAATAGCCCCCTGGCCATTGGATGTTTGCACCCCGATCCGCCTGGTTGTGGTCATCTGTGATTTTTAAGTGACTCTTCTACATCTGGTCTTTCTCCAGCTTCCTGTGGCATAGAGGGCAGTGGGCTTCTACGGACATCTTTCTCCGAGGTCTTCCATTTTATATTTGCATGTTTGACTATTAAAAAAGCACACTTTATTTCCAAAGCTCATCTCCTGGCAAAACGTATAGCCCAGGAAGTTGCAAAATACTTAACTGGAGGCTGGTTATATCCTTCCATGAACCTCCATGTCCCAGAAGAATGAAAACATGGCTCCATCTGTCAGACCTTTGACCTCCCCAGTTCCGGGGACCTTCACCTTGACTGCATGCCAGCCACTCCACTCAGAGCCACACCTGGCTCTTATCTCGGCTGGCTACTGCTCCACCCATGAAATCTCAAACCGCAGGGTCTCACTCTCCAGCCCTTCCTCTTAACACTCCAGAGCTTTCACCAAGCTGGCCTTGGACCTCCTCCTAAGTTCCAGGCTCTGGACCCCTCCCTCCTTTCTTCCCAGCCTCTCAGACCTCCTTGGATTCTCACTCTTGCCCTGCCTCTTCTGCCACATGGATGGAGGGACAAATAGCAAGAGCAAAAAAGAAACATTTGTGTCTGTAAGCCACTTAGACATTTTAAAAAAATTTTCTGCAGCATGACCTGGCTCTTCCTACTGAGGTACCTGCCCCCTCGGTGGGCGAGAAGATGAAAGGTCATGTGAGTAGAGCGCAGGCCCAGTGTCGGGCTCATAATAATCGCTCCAGAAATACTAGCTATTACTCTCACCACCAAAATTCACAGGGCCCGTGGCACTGCCTTGTAATGTATGTAATGTATCTACACATCCCCAGTTGGATCATTCTCCTTCTGTACAATAGCGATTCCAAACTTTATCCATCATCTTCCCACCAAACCCTCAGCCTTCATAAAAAAGATAGAAGTGATCAGGTGGGAACTTTCTCAGTAAGTTTTCTCCAAACCTGCAAGTTTCAGTTTCCCTCCCGTCTTAGAGGAGGTTGGGTTCTATCACCTGACCACAAGTATTGGAGGGCAGAAGTATCAGTGACTTCTAAGACTGGGAAAAGCTGAGCATTCATTCATTCCTCCATCCATTCGTCCATTATAAATACCAAGTAGGAGCGGGTCTGGGGCTTGGAAAAATGTGATTTGAAGATGAGGAAAAATTGAAACCTAAAGGGATAGCCAGGCTAGACCTATTTTTTTGTTTCTCCCAGATCGGCACTCTCTGTGCTCTCTTGCCTACCTACCCAGGTACATCCGGTGGCCAAAGGGGGGAAGTGGGAGGACTGGCCTGGCACTCACAAACCAGGCCTACCTGCCCCTACCCTGGGCATATGGAGGAAGAAAAGAGAAGGTCGGTGAGGCATCTGTAAGGAAAGCCTGAGGAAGGGACTGCCCTTGTCGAAGCTCCATCCATTCTCCCGGGCTACATGAGTGGCTGACACACAAAGAAAGAACTGCACGCTTCTCCCACCTCCAGGCAGGATTCCCTGGGACCCCAGACAGACAGACAGGCAGGCAGGCAGGCTGACAGACAGACAGACGGTGCTGTTTCTCCTCCTGATACAGCATCCTCGGCAGCTGAGGCTGACTCAGCCTCTGCACCCTCCCAGTGGGTGGGGTAGACAGTACGCCTAGTCCGCTGGGTGGACGTGGTAGGTGGCACCCAGAGTAAAGTCGCAGACATCTGCAGACACAGAGAACTTTGATTCCCCCCCACCCCCAACTTAGGGACATTTGCAGCGCTCCCTCCTTTACCTGTCACTCAGCCGCACCAGCTGGTTCCAAACTCAAACAGCCATCGGCCCTCTCCCTGGGCGACTGGGATGGGAAGTCCTTGGTGGCGAAGCACGTTGCGGCTGAAAGGGCCTTAGGGACTAGCTGTCACTCCCCTGTCCACCCATTCCAGGAAGACCCAGGTCCTGGCGGCGGGGTCCAAAGAGCCGAAAGAGCTGGCAACTCAGATCCAGGACAACTGCTTGTTAAGGACACAGGTCATGGCCGCCAGGCTTAGGTGAAAGAAGGTGTTTAGCATGTAATATTAAAGTGTTTGCCTTTATACCTGTGCAGCGGTAAAGTATGATTATACACACACGTAGCTGCATACTCACGTTTACCTTTCCATGAAGCCACTGCAGCCCTCCCTGCCCGCATCCCTCTGGGTCTGTTTCCTCATCCTTACAGTGCAGGTCACAGTACCACCCACACCCCTCCCCTCCGCCGGGCCTCCGTGCCCCCTGAACTCTCTTGGGGATCCGACCACTTCCACATTCACCAAGCGGGGAGGCTCCTGTGTGCAACCCACGTGGCATCCGCATCCGCTGGTGTTGCATTGAGGCGTTTCGCTGTTCTCCACTGTGAGCTGCCACCAGGTTCCCCGTCCGTCTCCTGTCCACCGCTCTCCAGCTGGAAACACCTTGTCTGGTGCTGTTTCCAGAACAAGGTGAGCCCTGACTTCTAGCACACGGAGGGCTCTGTGCTTCAAAAGTACCCCCTTCTCTGCCTGATGGTCCCTGCTCACACACCCCTACATGCCCTTACCAGCTGGGCTGTACCAACCCTTCTGACTCCCTGGCTTTTTAATCTTGCCCCTGCCCTCTAATCGCTGAAAACCCCAGGCCCTGGCCCTGCTCCCTCAGACCCTGGGCATCCATTCTCTCGCCTCTGGCCCCCCAGACACCCCAAGAAGCCAATGCCCTCTTTCCCAGCCCAGAGAAGCTTCCGGTTTTCCAGGAGACATGCATTGAACGGAAACATCTTTTCCCTTGGGTCCCTATGAATTATTGGTCAGCCTTTCCACATTCCCTGTGACCCCATGTTCATTCCCCTTGGCCTCTGTAAGGTCTCATGAGCCCCATGCCTCACCTGCAGTGCCAGTGTTAGCTCAGGTCCTTTTCATCCTTTTCCAGACCTCAACATCCCCTCACCAGCCTGTCTCTCTCTCCAAGCTACCTGACACCCTGCGACCATCTTGTCTTTTTAAAAATACAGACCTGATCCTGTCTTTGCTCTGTAAGATCTTCGTGTGGCTCCCCATTTCCCTCAGGCCCCTTAGCCTGGCACACAAGACCCTGCCTCCCCCTCGACTGGAACCCGCCCACACGATCATCACTAATTACTTATTTGAAATCCCCAGAGTGAGTCACGCTTTCTCATGCCCCCATGACTGTGCACATGATGCTCTCCAGCCCGGAATGCCCTTCCCAGATCTCTAGAAAACACCTCCTGACAAGTTGAGGCTTGTGTAGCCTCACCTCCTCCAGGAAGCCTTCTGTGCTGGCCCTTCCAAAGGCTGAGTTAAGGGCTTCTCTTAAGCACCTCACCCCCATCTCCTAGAGCTCCTCTGCCCTGCACCTACTTGTGCCTACGCCACTGGGGCCACTGGGCTCAGATTCAGACCCCTTTGAAACAGGGACCACATCTGACTCATCTCTGTCACCAGCCTCTGACATCGGACCTCTTTGGGATCCAGAAGGCACACAGTAGGTATTTTTAATAGAAACTGTAGACGAATGATGATTGGGCCAGGATGCACTGAACTGTTCGCTTGTCTGGCATCGGTGGCCTGATTGAAACAGGGCTGGGCACAGGTACATCCTGAAGCAGGCAGAGAGCAAGTGTCCGGGTTAGACTAGGATGCTGTCGGCTCCGGAAGCATGAAAGGTGGACTGATGGATTGATTACCTGTGAACTTGGAGCTTCTGAGAGGAGACTTACATTCCCACGAAGAGAAGGCAGACGAGTGTACTTAGAAACTGAAGCATACTGAATTAAACACCGCGATCTTCATTTCAGCAAAAGGAATGAGTTGTACAGGGGCAGACATTTAATCACAATGTGATACAGTTCAGCCGTGATCGACAGGGTCACAATACCATAAACACTAACTCTGATCCCAGCTTCTGTCGTAACTGGAC